CGGTGATGTCCCATAAATGTTCGATGGGATTCATGTCGGGCGATCTAGTTGGCCAGATCATTCACTGGAATTGTCCAGAATGTTTTTCTAACCAATCGCAAACAATTGTGGCCCGGTGACATGGCGCATTGTCATCTATAAAAATCCCATCGTTGTTTGAGTATGTGAAGTCCATGAATGGCTGTAAGTGATCTTCAAGAAGCTGAAGGTATCCATTTCCAGTCAATGATCAGTTTGGTTGCACCAGAGGACTGAGTCCATGCCATGTAAAAACAGCCCAGACCATTATGGAACCACCACCAGCTTGAACAGTGCCTTGTTGACAACTTGGGTCTATGACTTCGTGGGGTCTGCGCCACACTCGAACCCTACCATCAGCTCTTACCAACTGAAGTCGTATCTGACCAAGCCGCAGTTTTCCATTCGTTTAGGGACCAACCGATATACTCATGAGGAGCCCATGAGAGTTGCTGCAGGCGATGTCGTGCTGTCAGTAAAGGCACTCGAGTCGGTCTTCTGCTGGCATAGCCCAAGGAAGACAAATTTCGTCGCACTGTCCTATCGGACACGTCCCTCGTACGTCCCACATTGATTTCTGCGGTTATTTGACGCAGTGTTGCTTGTCTGTGAACACTGACAACTCTACGCAGACGTCGCTGGTCTTGGTCGTTAAGTGCAGGTGGTCGGCCACCGCGCTGTCCATGGTGGGATGTTATGCCTGAAATTAGATACTCTCGGTACACTCTTGACACTGTGGATCTCGGAATGTTGAATTCCCTAACAATATCCGAAATGGAATGACCCATGCGTCTAGCTCCAACTACCATTCCGCGTTCAAAGTCTGTTAATTCTCATCGTGCCGCCATAATCACGTCAAAGCCTCTTCACATGAATAACTTGAACACAAATGAAAGCACTTCAAATTTATACATTTTCTATGCGATACTACTGCCACCTGTATATTTGCATATTGCTATCCCATGACTTTTGTCACTTCAGTGTACATTTGGGAGAAAACTGAACAACAAACACTGGGCTAAAATTTGTCCCTCGTATGAACTTATGTAGGACAATAATGGTGTGTGCTGAATGTACTTTCTCAAATGTATTGCAAAATTGTATCTTGTATTGCTTCTTGAAAAATGTATTGCAAAATTACAATATATAATTGTTGAAGTAATATTGGTAAAAGCTAAGGTCAAAAGTGCATATGTTTTGTTTCTTAAATAGCTGGTTACAAATCACTAGCATCCCAGTGATGTTTTCAAAGCTTTGTTTTGGCAATTTGTTGCTATGAAATATGTGGTGAAATCAGATCATTGCATTCTCATGTTCACAAATATCCTATTTAATGGTATTATCGGGCCATCATTGTTATTATTGAGCCTTTTTATCTACTAATCCATTTTTCACATTTCGTGAAAAAAATAATAAAAATAACTTACAGCCATGCAGATTTTACTGCATGTAATATGTATTAGAAGTGAAATATTCAAAATTACTTATGCAAACCAACACTGCATACTTAGCACAAAACTTTTATGTTTATACAACTGTTGATGAGTCAAATGGTTTAAATTTTAATTTAAGCTGAAAATTAAACTGTGTTTGATAGTCGTCATGTAAACAGTAAAAAAAAAAGTTGTAAAAATAAATTCATTTAGAAGGGGAAGAATAGATGTAGAATTCATATTTTGGTGCATTATGGGAATTTATGTGCTAAATAGGGAAATTCTGAAAGAGTGCATCTGAAAAGTTTGAGATTATGATACATAATGCTATGACGTAATTTTTTTTTAGAGGTGCAAGACTACAAGTTGAGACCCTTATGAACAGTGTTTGTAATGTAAGGTCTTTGATGGAATTTAAAATTGCTTTTAAATACTTGCATATTAACACGACTGCCATAGTAGAAGTTGCGGAAGCCGCCATTTTCATATGCATTCCTTATTGTTGCATTTTAAGTTCTAACATTTTTTTAAACTTACTTTTAAAATATGAGTTCGTGAAATTTGCCAGCAATGGAAAAAAGTATGATAAAATTTCTGCAGGAATACAGAATTTTGCTGAAAATTTTCTAAAAGGAACAATGAGAAAATGTGCTTCGTAGATAGCCACTATTGCTGAGGCTTGAAGAAAGCCGAGCATCTGCAATTCTCTTATGTTTTTTAATTGAAGACAGATCACTGTGTGCTTCAAGAGAAGAATAGTGCAAAAAAAATTGGAGAAAGATTTGAGCAAGAAAGTGTTTTATTTTTTAAATGTATCTTGTCATCCTTATATAATAATTAAAATTTGTATTTTAAATTGCTAAAGTATGTTTTCTTTTCCTATGTTCATACAGACTTACTATCGTCCACCAGTGATTGGGCTGTAAAGTTGCTGAACACTGGTAGTTTCGTCCAGCGTTCGAATCCCATGAATGGGCTGAATGGCCGTTTTTGTGGTTTTTCCCATGTGTAACATGTATACGAGCCAGTTCCCCTTAGAAAGTCCTCCCAAAGGCATTCCTTCCCTTAAGCAGATAGCCCTCGAGGTTTTGCCGTAATCACATAAACGAAACCAAGCAAACTTATAACTATCAATAGTTTGGGAATCTTTTTTAAAAAAAGTTGGGAAAACCAACAACTTGCACCCTGTAACTTCTACCTTTTCATCTGTTAAAAATGCCAGATTGCACAAGTGTGGTTGGTTTAACACATAAGTACCAGCTTTTGTAAGTAGTTACTTTTTATTATGAGTATAATGTAAGATTTGTTGTTAAATCCTTAAAGATTGCACTGCTCGATGATTCAAACCATGTGTGGGTATTATGAGAAATGTGCATACTCGAGTTAATTCAAGCTGTGTCACATTTAATGTTATCGTAACTTGCATGCTTGAATAAACATTGACAATCAAAAATAATCTCAAGTCATAACTGTATAAAAGATTTATTATATTGTAATATCTATATAATTTAACATATTTTTAGTAATTTTTGTTATTTTGTAAAAGAAATTTAGGTACTTTTCCGTTTGGCCGGCGCAATTTCCCATTTCGCCGGCGCAAGCGATAAAGTCGCCGAAAATGGTAGAATTGATGCCAAAGCGAATATCTTCGCTGATAACCTTTCACGGCACTTTTTCAAAACAAGTCGTTGAGATTTATTATCAGATTTACCTTTTTTCTTTTCAATATTGGCATACAGTTACATAGAATTTTTTTAATTATAATATTGAAATAATTCTTGCATTTAAACTCGTATTCCATACTGAGATTTAACTTGAAATTAATGTAGATAATTCCTGAGAGAATCAGATTTTTGTAGCGTATTTTACGTGAGATGAGATCGTTTGGGATCACGTGATATTAACCTGCGAATCAAGAGGTTTATACCATGAAAGCATAGTAAATCTTTAATTTAACGTCTTTAAAATTCTTAAATTAACGTCTTTTACAAATATGTCAAAAATGGCTGAAAAACCAATGAAAATTTGGGATTTGCCCAGGACAGAGGAAGAATCCGTCAGATTCTTTCAAGCGAAAGGCGTTTTTGCCTAACATTGCTATTGTGAAAATAATCATGAAATGAAATTATATTTCGGAGACAAAATTCAATGGCGTTGCAACCTTTCAACTTGCCGCAGTAAAAGAAGTATACGGAAAGGCACATGGTTTGAATCATCGAGATTGAGTTTCTTGAAGTGTTTAAGATTCATTTATGGTTGGAGTGAAGAATTAACTTCAGTTAAATGGTGTGAAAAGCAGTTGGAAATCAGTCACGGAACAGTTGTGGATTGGAATAACTACATGCGAGAGGTTTGTGTGGATTCTTTACTTAAACGTCAACAACGCAAAATAGGAGGCCCTGGTATGATCGTTGAAGTGGATGAAAGTATGTTCACGAAGCGCAAAAACAACGCGGGACGGATTTTACCACAACAGTGGATCTTTGGTGGAGTTTGTCGTGAAACAAATGAATGTTTCCTTGTGATGGTGCCAAACCGATCCATGAGTATTATATTAGAGGCAATAAATGAAAACATCGAAAAAGGAACTACAATATATTCTGATTCATGGAAATCATATTGCGCTGAAAAACTGGAAGAGGAAAGTTTCGAACATTTCAAAGTGAACCATAAATACAATTTTGTAGATCCGGAAACTGGAACGCACACACAAAAAATTGAAAGACTATGGGGAAGCGCTAAATGGTGGAATAAAAAACACAGAGGAACTGCTCGGCATCATCTAGAAAGTTACCTCGCCGAATTTATGTGGCGAAAGGACACAAAAGACCCATTTTAAAAAATTCTAAACGATATTAAAATATTTATGCCTCCAAAATAAAAAAAAAAAAAAATTTTTTTTAATTCTTAGAATTAACATTTCTTAACATTTTTTTATGTGTATACTGTGTGTTGTCGCCAATAAGGTCTGCTTGGCGAGATTGCGCCGGCGAAACGGAAAAGTACCGAAATTTATTAATTTTACAACACTTGTATTGCCAAATTATATGCTGCGTTTCAAACCTGTGTGTTATATGGATGGGTATACATATGTAATTTGAAGAACGGAAATCGACGTCTTTAACACTTTTTCACATGTACATGTAGCTTTCCCATGGAGAGAAAAATTTTTTCCACGTATAAAAATGCATATAAAATAATAATGTGTATAAAAATGCATATAAAATAATAATGTGTATAAAAATGCATGTTTTTAAACATCAAGTTAATCACTAAAAAATGGACAGAATTTATCATTAATTATAATGAAATGAACTAAAAATGTTTATGCACCATCAAAGAAATTTATAACATGGAGTGTAATTAAAATCAAAGTATGTTATTAGGTTTGTATTTCTTTTTATTTGAATGACACATAAAGATGCGACCCAATACAAGCAAGAAAGTATCTTTCTTGGTTTGCATTCTTAATTTAGAATGTTTTCGTATCTTTAAAATTTTTTGGAATCTATATATTTAGCTTGTATGTATTTTAATGCTATTTCATAGGAAGGAACTTGTATATTGACTGGCATGACCTACAATGGCAAAGATAAAAATGGAAATGATCTATGGGATGGATGTGCTAATGTAAAATTATGGGATTTTACAAAAACTACAACATTTGAAGGCATTATTAAGTCTTTCAATATCAACACAAATCTTTGGGTTGCACAGTGAGTATATGTAATATTTTTTTAATAATAGCATTTCTAACTAATTATGGAATTTTTATATCTTCTGTGAAAAGTAACTTTCCCTCAAATTTCAAGTAAATGCTGCCTGTAATTTCATGATTTTGAAATGTACTCCAGTTAAAAAAATAAGCAACAAAGGCAAAACAGAATAAAACTTAAATACTTTAATGGATATGTGTGAAATTGATCTAAGAAGTTGGTGTGGCATTACCAAACCACATGAATACTGAATGGGTTGGAAGAACGTGCATCACGCTAATAATGTGTATGATACCATTCTAGTTTAAATGCATGCTTGACAATGGTGATGCAAGCTGGCAATAGTGGTGTTGATTGTTTGTGGCAGTAGCACCTATTCCTGTAGTAATGCATGCCACAGCTGATGGAGGGTGCCTGGTGGCACATCGAGACCTGCTATCCATCGTCCCAATATGTCCTACACATGCTGTATGGGATTCAGTTCTGGTGATCTAGCAGGCCATGGCAGGTATGGGCTGATTTCACTCTCCTGGTAACTTAATAATAATTATTATTAATAATAATTAATCTCCTGGTAACTAACAATAATACCTGCTCACATAGAGCTTACCACGTGAGCTCTATGTGAGCAGGTATTATTATCCATAAATATTGCATCAATAGGCCACACAAGAGGATGTAGAATTTCATTGCAATATCGAATGCCTATGACGGAATCATGTAGAGGTCGGTGCGGCCATTTGTCGCTATCCCAGTCCTTACAAGTAAGCTTCCCCTTTGTAATGGTCTCTTTTGATGATGTTTAGCATCCAGTAGTGTGTCTCTGCTTTTACCATATCATTGCCCTTTGGGAATCTATCCGGATGTTAAATCACAACTTGTCCGTAAAGAGTACATGGCTCCACTGCTCTGGTGTTCTACTGTGATATTTGCATTTGGCGATGCAGCAGATTGTGTTGCACCAGCTTGTAACATCCTGACTGCCCTCCAGTGCATTTCATCATGCAAATGGTATCTTCATTTCACATTTTCTACGTTGGCTTTCTTGGATTACACCGAACTATCACTGCTTGTGAACTGGTGCATAGATCTAGCATGCCTATTTTTAAGGTGTTTGTTGTGTTACTGCAGATTTGCATTTTATGCTAATTTTGGTTACCTATTTGCATTTGGCGATGCAGCCTTTACCTGATGTGTAAATTGTAAGTTTTAATTCCCCTTTTTACATTCATACCTTTTCTTGTTAGTATCTGTTGCTTACTTTTTGAGCAACAGATATATAAAGATCTAATGAAATTTTTGTCATTACTAATATTATAACTTTACTGCTTCATTAAATTTCTTTGCTGTATAATTATTGAAAATGATGTACATTGCTGTAATTGCAATTAATTTTAGATGATTCCAGCATCATAATGACTCAGCTCAGAACATGGCTTCTCACAAAAATATAAATTTTGGTTACATCCATAAATTATAAAGCATACTCAATTTGTGTTAAGAGGATCACTGTGAAAATTTTGAGAAGTTATATTAAAATACATAAATAAGTAATTCTTATTATTTTCTTGAAATGCTTCCTTTTGTGTTAAATGTAACTTCTTATTCTTTCAAATATATTATATGAAATATTTCATATTGCTGTTTTTCTTTATCTTCCAATTTTGTATGGGTGCAGTATGTTTTTGTGAGTCAAATCTCCATCCATTTTCCTTACTTTAGGGGAACAGAAAATTACATGGAACTGTTATTTGGAATTTCTGTATGTAGACTATAAGGAAGACTGAGAACTTAGAGTAATTAAAATGTACTTTTAGGAACATGAACTATTGCATTATCACGAGACAATAAGTTTCCACACAATCCAGTTTTTAATTTTTCTAATTTTTTAGAAATTCTTAGTATTGTAATATATTAACAACTCTAATACTTTCTTCCTTCTAAAAAACAATGTAATCTACACTCATGTCCAAAATTATCTTTACATACCCAAAAATGATGATATTCAATGAAATATCGAATCAATGTGATCCGTATTTGCAGGGAATGTGTGAAAACCAAGCCTAATTAGCATTATCCAATCAAAAGTAATCAAACGGTTTGTGATATGCAAATCTGGGCGTTACGTCATCCAAGGGTGAATCAAGCGCTTTGCGCAAACTGAATATTTCAGTGAATTTCTGCAACATAGCGTTTGATTTCAGTGTGTAGGGACTCAAAGCGGTTTGTTATGGCTTCGAAGTATCATTTGGAAGAATCTGTAAAGTGGCGAATTATCGGCCGTTTAGAAGCAGGGCAGTCAATCATAGAAACAGCCACATGTCTGAATATTTCAAGACAGACAGTCTCTAAGCTATGAAAACAGTTTCAAAATGATGGAAGTGTTGTAAGGAGGCCTGGACAAGGTCGGAAACGAATGACAACTGCTTCTGAAGATCGGTATCTGGCATTAACTGCCCGTCGTAACAGAAAGGCTACTGCTCGCCAGTTAAGTTCAGAGCTTGCAGCCGCCACTGGAACTGTTGCATCACGGCAAACAATATACAGAAGGCTTAATGAAAAAGGCCTTTATGCCAGAAAGCCAAGGGTATGTGTTTTACTGTCTTCACAGAAAAAGAGGGATCGCTTTAATTGGTGTAAAGAACATCAAAACTGGACTGAACATCAATGGTTCCATGTTCTCTTTACTGTGAGTCGCGGTTTAGTTTAACTGGCGATTCTAAACGTGTTTACATCTGGAGGGAGTCAGGAACACGAAATGATCCCTCGAACATTGTGGAACGTGACCGTTTCGGTAGGAGGTGTGATGGTATGGGGTGGAATAATGATCGATGGACGTACGCCCCTACACGTGTTCAGTAGCGGATCTGTGACAGGCCAGATATATCGAGATGAGGTCTTAGATCCTTATGTAAGACTTTTCAGGGGTGCGTTATGGACCTGACTTTTATTTATGGATGATAATGCCCGTCCACATCGAGCAAACCTCGTTGATGAATTCCTTGAAAGTGAAGACATTAAGCGAATACCTTGGCCACCAAACTCTCCTGACCTTTAACCCCGATAGAGAACTTATGGGACTACCTTGGAGAGCAATTGCACGTATACATCCTCCTCCTAGAGATGCAAATGCTCTGAAGACGGCATTGCTGGAAGAGTGGAGATTAATTTCCCCAAACTGTGGTTAACAACGTTATTTCCAGCCTTAAAAAACACGTTGTGATATGTGTGTACAAGTCAGGGGAGATCATTCCATATTAAATTCGTAATAGACTTAATTCTTTTCTGAATCATTCCTTTTTTCTTAACTCTCTTTGTCACACTTTATTACCATTTTTATTGTTTCATGCTACGACGTTTTATATCATATGAGGTGATCTTCAATTTTTCTTTTTGCATTTATGTCATCATGTTATGTATGATTCTACGAAAATTCATTAAATTATAAGTCATAGTCTCTGAGAAATCCGTGAATTTATGCATGTAAACATAATTTTGGACATGAGTGTATATGAATAAGACATGACTTGCAGGAGATTTATTGAGCACAAAAATCTTGTTTTAACAGCATTATAAAATCTTTAAATTCATAGATATTTTATCTTAGCATTCATTTTTGCAACAGTACTGTTTTAATTGCACCATAAAAATCTGAGTTTAGGGACATTTTCTCTTAGCATTCATCTTCCAACAGTAGTCAACTTAAAATAAATTACCGAGATAATGAATATAATTTTCATCTCGTCCTCAAATTTCAGTAATTAGAGGTAAATAGAAATGATAACGAGATAGTATTAAATTTTGATCATTTGAATATGACAGTGAAAAAAACCAATTAAAAAAATAAATCCATGTGACAGTAATTAATCTAAGATGAATTTAAAAATGAAGAGTTCCACAGAGAGTTATACGATGCTTCATAGCAATGTGCTTGTTGCTTTTAGTTGAGTTTAGTAACCAGCAAATAAATTTTAAAGATCCTGCATTAAAGAGTTCAGAAATGCTAAATCTCAATATGTGCAAATGTTTTTGCATTATAATGTTGCTTTAAATTTCTAAATGCTGTTACTTAAATAATTATGCAAAGCTGTTGAAAATGGCAACTATTGAGAACTGGAAAAGCAAAGGAAAAAAAGGTCAGAAATTTGGACTACTTTTTGAAAGGCAAGATGTTAAAGAAAACAAAAGAAATCGACTACAGACTGCCTTCATGAATGAACTGCTTTTGCTAAAGAGAAAATTAAAACATTCATTAGCTACAGATTTCACTCCCTTTAAAAAATTAATTTAACATAATTTGCTGAAAGAATAAATACTTTGAGAGTTTGAGAGTTTTTTTATATAAAAATAGTAATTGCTTTTTTTATATAAGTGTAATGTTACTTTATTTTAAATTCTAATGCCGAACCTAAAATTGTACGGTACATATTAAGGGCTAAAGTTACAATTGGGAGAAGATTGTGATTAAGTGCTAGAGTTAGGTATAATGTTTACCTGCAGCTATTACAGTCTTGTTCATATATAATTATAGAAATATAAGTTTTGACACTTTTTTTTTTCATGTTAGTTGATCATTTAATTTTGCTTTTTTCCATTAAGTTCATCTAAGATAATAAAACAATAAAAGCATAAAATGCATTAAGTAAAAAAAAATGAAAGCAAGGAATATTTTTTTTTTTTTTTTAAATTCCACTACATATTCTCCCCTCCCCATACGTTGGTATGAAATACTTTTTCTGGGAAGTCCCCCTGTGTTTTAAGTATTAAGTATTTTGATAAACATCTTTGAATATTTGTTCCTTAGCCATGATGTTTGATCAGATGAAAGATAAACAATAAGCTGAAGTGATTATCTTGATAGTATTTCCCCCTTTTGAAATGCCAGCAGACTGCAGGTTGCGAAGATGATTTCTAAAAAGTACTGTATAAGCATTTAAAACATTCACATTCTTTCATCCAACTTCAAAGCTGTTTAAAAAAAGGGGGGCAAGAATTGATCCCCTTGTTTCAGAATTAAATGTAATTAGGTATATTGCTTTTCTCAGACCTTACTTACACATACTACTATCAAATATTTTTATTGTATTAAGTAGTGTTTTAAAAAGGCAGGCATTTCATATACTAGATTATCAAAACTTTAAGATTGGCCTACATATTTATTAGCTTTTAACTGCTTGGCATTCTTCTTTGCCTGTGTCTTTCCAGTCTTTTATTTTACAGTCTTTTTTTTTTTTTTTTTTTTTTGTCAAAATATGCAAAAACATATTTTAATTTTGGATAATGTTATCTTTAATAATTTTGGTATTGTTTCATTTTCATTAAATTTTACTACAAATAAATTATGTATAAATATTTTGGTGCATTTCTGTAGCAAATTTACTTTAAACTTCATTTGATGTACTTGTGTTAAACTATTCAACTTTTCCTGCTTATTTGCTAATGAATGCAGTGTTTAATTCCAGTATACTATATGAATTTTAGGGTGAAATTAAAAGTGTAAGGTCTATTTTTGTTTCATTGTCTTAATTTGTACAAAATTTTAGCTATATATTTTTATTTATTTTAAGTGCGTATGGTAATGGTTGTGGTTTTTGTGTTTAATGCTGTTAACTAATCTTCATAATTTCTGGCTAATTTCTTATTCTGTAGAGTGTAAATAATGATGTAATATAATTTTCAATATTCTTCTTAGGTATGTGTTTAAGCGTTTGAAGTTTCTTGGTAATCGATATATTTCACAAGGTGCAGCTCTTTTGTTCTTGGCAGTTTGGCATGGTTTACATTCTGGTTACTATGTTTGTTTCTTCAGTGAATTCATTGTTATGTATCTTGAGAAAGATGTAAGTGAAATATACTTTTGTTTTAAACTCAGTGTTTTAAATTGAAGATTTTTAAAATGCATTTATCAGTATAATTCTATATTGTAATATAAACTTTAGTACTGTGTGATTATATGTGTCTCTTTCCCAAAAAGTTTTCATCTGTTAGGAACCAATTTTTTGGCAAGCTAAGCTGCAGAAGATAACAGCCATTTTTAGAAATTGCTGTGCACTAAGAATTGCATAAAACAACTATCAATTAACAAAATTAAGACTGCAAGAAACATTCATAATAAAACATTTACCTTTTTTTTTTCCCACTGTTCTTCCCATGTGCACAACAATCAGTTTTAGCTTTAAAAAAATCAGAATATTTCAGAAACTTGGCATTGCATGCATTGTCAATTCTTTCCACATGCATGGCAATCTGTGTTTGCTTTAAAAAATACCAGAGAGTTGGATAAATTTGCATTGGCTTAAAAATTTTGATGCATGAAATTCAATTGTTTATAAAGTCCAGCTTTATGGAATGCCATCTATTATGCATTCTCTACTGTTAGGCAAGGTGCCATATCTCTTAAGAAATGCAGCACTTTCTCTTCATCAGCCAGCAAACTTCACTGTCCCATTGTTATTCATTCAAGAAAGGAAAAAAGAAAAAAATACAATCGGACAAACACTTTTTGGAATTCAAAGGTTAAGGTAAACCTTCAGTGAAAGTTAGCGCTCGTCTCATACATGCACAGCTGTAGTTGGGTTGTCATATAAATACATTTGGGAAATGTCAAAGGTTGCCTGTTGTGGTATTAGTGCATTGCCTTGTGAATACTTTTCAGGGGGTGCAGATAATCAGAAAGTGCCAAAAAGCCTTTAAATGATGATTGAACAATATTTATAATAAAATGAAGTATTTTTCAGTTATATTCTTAATAAGTATTCCATTTTCTGACATCAGCATTGCTTTTAAAGGAGAGTTAAGCATTGCAGAAAAATTATTATTCTCCCTCTACAATATTGGATGAGAAAAAATTTGATGCATTATTTTACAGAACTATTATTGTAACATTAATCTGGTATTTTTGCTACAATACTTGGTTCTTCTGTAAAGATAATACTGATGTCATAAAATGGAATGATTAACAATTTATTTTCAGAATGTAGCATTGTCTTTAAATTTTGTTTCAAGTAGGCTAGAAAAACTAGCTATTTAATTCTTTAAGGTGGAAGGCTGTCAAATAAAGAAAAATTTATAAGCATTTGTCAAAAAAAATGAAATGCTTATAATGAAAATATGCTTATAATAGATTGGGATAGTAAAATGATTTAATATGATTGATTGCCAAACATAGACTGTTGAATCAGTTTGCAGAGTATCAGAATCATATTCATGAAGGTCATTCTTCACTAATCCATCTAGTACCATTTTTTATAGTTTTTTTTGGGTTGACCTGTCGACTATAAGCAAGAACATAAATGTACACTGCACAAAAAAAAGGGGGGACAGTTCTATATCTCCCTTTCTACTGGGCCGATAGACAAAATTCAAATTGTGTTTTTCATGTCTCGAAAGCGTGACTTAGAATATATATTAGATTATATAAAGCATCATTCTAACATAGGTATTTTGACACAAAATCAGACTTTTTCTGAAATGATGGGCCAATTTTTTTTCCATATTTCGGTTCTACAACTCAAATTATGCCCAAATATTAAATTTTGAAAAATTTGGAGCGAAATTTATGGAGAAATTCGAAAATTTAACTTGCCACATTTTTTCAGTTTGAGCCAAGAATAATTCACTTGGCGAACTTTTTAAAAATATGGCAACCTATTTTCCTTTCCCTTCCATTGTGCAGGAGCAGGAAAAAAGCCACTTCATTCCTACTTTCAAATAATTTTAACAAAGTGTTGTAAACCACATTTTCATTATTATCACTTTCAACAAAATATGCCAAATTTCAAAATGTGCCAAATATATAAATTCACGTATATTTTCAGAAATTTTGAATAAAAAGCTCTAATTTTTTGCAGGTATGCTTAGAAATACATCTACTTTAAGATGATTTTATAGATTATGATTCAAATTTTTTTTCGAAAAATTTATAAAGATGATTTAAAATATAAATTTAAAAAATAAATTATAAAATAGGGTGAATTTGGAATTTGAACCTAAATTTTAAACTGTGTAAGAAAGAATTTAAGTTTCATAAAAAAGAAATTTTAATAAATACATACCAAATTGAATTAAGATTGAGGAGCTAAAATTTTGAGAGCTAATTTTTTAAAAACTACTCATGCGCTTTTTTACAAAACTTGGGAGTTTGGCATAATTTGAGTCGTAGAATCGAAATATGGAAAAAAAATTGGCATGTCATTTCAGAAAAAGTACGATTTTTTGTCAAAATACGTTTATTTGAACAATGCTATATATAAATCTAATACATATCCTATGTCACACTTTTGAGATGGGGAAAATGCAATTTGAATTTCATCAATCGATCTAGTAGAACGGGAGATATAGAATTGTCCCCCCTCATTTTTGCGCAGTGTACCTATGCTTGCTGCTGACCTCTCCCTGTTTGTTGAACAAGTATATGCTGATTTCCTGTGAGAAGAATGCTTCACATGTGGGGGCTTTATTAAGAAAAATGTTTTTTTTTAACATAATGTATAGGGTTTTTTCAAAGCAATCTGACTTTGAAAGCATATACATAATCATAATGTTCAGAGTCCAAAATGCTTAAAAATTTTCAATTACATAATCTGAAGAGAGAAAAAAGAACCATAGCCAAAAACGCAGAATAATAAATGATGAAATGAATATCCCTTCTCTGCATTCTGAGTTTTTCTATATTTGTCTTGCTATAGGTTATTTCTATTTGCTATCCAAAAATGGCCAATGTACAAGTACATAAACAGTACAAAAATTTAAGCTCTGGAATTGTCAGGATTTTAAAACCCTGCAGTGCTCGCGTGGCATATTGTTACGTTAAAGGTCGCGCGGCGGCGTCTCACAGATGCCAGGTATTATTTTGCTGTACTAATATATTTAGGTTATTCAACTCAAATTTATGGATGCAAAGGGATTTATTGAAATAACATACATATATTTGTGGTATCCTATTACAAACACAAATAACAAAACTTCAGTTTACAGTGAGACTTAATTTTATTCAACTTAACTCAAATACAAATGAAAAATACAAGTGAAATTGTCTCATTTAGTTAGTTGCACAAACTAGCAATCAACACATATTTGCCGAGTGTTTTCTAAACATAAAAATGTTTACAACTGCAGTATTTGTACTTGGTGTACCTGTTCTTGGAGAGACTACATTCATGACATCTCTGCCTTTTAGTAGTTCAAGCCTCTACTGTAAGTTGAACAATATCCTCATCTGGGAAAATGCTCTGAATATCCTCCTTGAGGTTTCTAGGTAATGATAAACTTTGAGAATGTCTACGCAAGGAATCATAAGCTAACCAAAAGTTTTAAAAACTCACTGCGGCTGGTGCTGATTGATAAGTTATTTGCATGATATATTATTTGAGCATTTAAAGCTGCTACATTCATCATGCTATAAAATATGACCATAGGGCATCTGTTCGTTTTCCTGGCGATATTGTAAGTGCTACACAACTGGTCAACAGTATCAACTCCTGATTTAGTTGCGTTATAAAAGGTTATCATCTGTGGCTTGTTTTTTTCACAAGATTCATCAATTACACTATCATGATGCATTATGGAGAGAACAGAACCACAGTGTTTTCTTAGTTATGTAATAGTCCCAACCAAAGTATAAGATTGTTTTGAAGCAAACAATTGCTATTGTTGAACCTTTAACAATATGAAAGGAACCTAAATCATTTTTCAGACATTATTAGATGGCATAACTTAATACCCATTTTACCAGAGGACCATATGTCCTTGTTATTTCCATGATTGTCCTTTCTGGAAGCACAAATGAGTAATACGCCTAGAAGCGCTTTTATTTCAATTATGTCAGTCAAATGGGCAGCCCTTTCCCGAGAATAATTTTCCTGTACTGTGGACATCTTTTCATTTGTGAACTTAACTATATTAGATAGCATGCCACTGTCAAAAAATCATGCCCAGCATTGCTCCAGCTTTCGAGCATTTTTTGCGACACCTTTCACCTCTGGCAAATGAATGATAATATTATGTCGCCGAGTGCGTATATTTTTTATTTTTAGGTGGGCAAACTTTTGATCACTCTGATGATTTATTCCGGCATAGGAAATAATTATCGGCAATATAATCATCCCTATTGCTATCATTGGAGTCTTTCTTGCTCAGTGTCTTTGTTTTTCTTCTCTTGTTTCGACTCTATCTTCTTGTGCATCACTATAATCATCAAACTCATCACCTGATTCATATTCTTCCATCAGCATACGTAGTACTATTTCTCTGTCACGTTCATATGCCATATTCAATTTTTCTGAGAAGTCCTCTAAAGGTAAGAAATAAATAATAAAAACAAATGTTATCCATAAAAATTATAAATACCAAAAGAAATATTTTATATTTAAAATTAAAATATACAGTTTCTTTCATTTATCAATAAAATGGGAAAAAAAAAAAAAAACACTACTAGAGACAGCTGTTGATAATATAAATTAAAAATACTAGAATATATAAATTTTAAAATTTTTACCTTTAGAATCAAAAACTGTCGCGTGGCGTCTCCTAGACTCCAGCAGTGCTCATAGGCTTATAACCTCTTCCTCTCAGCACTAAAATGAAAAAAAGCGTTGTTTCGATGATTTCTACATGTTTGTGTATAGTTGACAGCAGCATAAGTTTGCTCGTGCATCCGTTTATAAAGCAATTGAAAAAGAAGCATCCCTGGCGTCTACTGGATGCCGCGCGAGCAGTGCAGGGTTATCAGTTCCAGATTTTCAGTTTAAATCTAGTAAGATGACATGTAGAGAATATATAAAATTAAAAACTTGAAACAGTTATTTATAAAATAATGAAACATTCACAATCTTAAGAAAATAAATTTAAAAAAAAATTCTTTCATTTAATTCGCCCAAAAGGGTGTCAGTCTGAAAGGGCT